ATACTCTATAAAGCATAGATAAGATGACTTCATCATACTAAGTAAGCAGAATGGGACTGTGGCTTTTATTGAAGATAGCAATGTCAAGTCAGGGATTTCTGAATCTTTTTTAGCTAAAAATATACATATCTTGGATTTTGAGTAATGAACCAGGTAAGGAATAGAAAAAGGTAACTTCTTGAATGCTTACCTCGCTTGGCAGGCATAACACACATTTAACATCTTTTCAAATAATCTCATGAGAAAATGATAGCCCCATTGTATGGAAGAGAAAACTTAGGCTCAAAGAGAACTAGTAGATGGCCCAGAGACACACAGCTGTGAGGTGACAGAGTCAGGTTTGAACCCAGGTCCTTTTACTCTTGAAAGTGCCCCTTCCACCGTGTTGCCGTTTCCACTGTTCTCAGAGCTGGGTCCTGCTGTGTTCTAACACTTTAATCCACTTAGAGAAAGTCGACAGATCTTTAATATATTTGCAAATGAAAATTGAAAGCCATTATAAAGCTTTATCAAAACTCTGCCGTAGATGGCTCCAGTTCTGTCCTTGATTAATCAGTGTTTTGAGGTATAGCTGTTGAAAATTTTCTCTTGGGCTGTTTTCTGGTCAGTTAATTCAGATCAGTGAATAGATAATTTCAACAATGAATTCTCAATAGTAAGAGACAAAGTACAAACAAAGCAGTATAGGCTGCTTGTTATAGCAACAGTTAGATATTAATTGTGGCTTCTGACCATATCTCTAGCCTTGTAGCATATTGCCTAACTTATAATAAGTAGTCAAAATATGTTTAACTGACTGACTTTTGGTCCTAGCTTTTTCTATACAAATTAATTCTAACCTCAGCAATAAGTGGGCTGCTGCTTGCTATTTAGTGGGTATGATTAGATTTGAAAGCCCTTCAGGGAGTATGGTCATAGGAAACCCTGTTGTGAGGGTGATATTGCTGCTGCTGTTGTCAAATTGCCAAGTGATAAGGTAGTAGGAGGCACCTCACAGTCAGTTCACTTGTAAATTAGTGATAACAGTGTCTACTTTGTAGGGTTATTGTGAGAACTGGAAGATTAGGCAACCAGCTGCCTAGCCACAAGACCAACTGTCAAGAAAGATGACTATTGTTACTTTATGTAATGTTGAATTACATTATTCCTTGGGTTCAGGCTCTTCGTATCCCCTAGTTTATGCCTGAAATGTGAAAGATCTTGCAAGGAAGTATATTCTGGAATCTTTTAATATTTGAATTTTTCAAAAAGAACCACTTACATGGTACAAAAATAATAGCCAGTACTAACAGCTTACACTGTGCCTGATACTGTTTTGAGAGTTTTTATGTTCATTGATTCACTTCCTCCTCACAACAGTCTTCTGAAAATGGGCATTAGTATTATCCATATTTTACAGTTGATGAAATGGATATAGACAGAGGTTAAATAACTTGCCCAATGTCACATGGCTAGTAAGTAGCAAAGCCAGTTTCCAACCCAAGCAGTTTATGCCAGAATCCATGCTTCACTGCTACACTAAATGTAGCCAGACTTAATAGTCTTGTTTTTCTGATCTATGCCTTTTCCTGTATAAGAAAACCCTTTCCTATTTTCCAGTACTGCCTTCTAAAAGGTTTTAAATTTGCTTTTCACATTTGCAATTACACATTTCAAATTTGCAATAGTTGTTTGTCTGGAGTGAAGTAGGAATCTAATTTTATGTTGTTTTATGTGGATAGCCTAGTATGCTAGCAAAGACTGTTGGAAAAGAGAACTTTTCACTTGGTACGTTCACAACTCAAAGCTAAGTCAGGCCCTTCCAGCGCTAAGTATTCAGGCCACCAAGGACTTGGTTCATAATTCAAAAGATACCGAGAGAGTATGCACAACCCCTGTCCTATAATTCTGTAGTTCAATATATCTTTCTCTTTCCTCCTCTTTCTCTCCCCTCCCCTCCCCTCCTCTCCTCTGCTGATTTCCTGCTCTCTCTCGCCTTCCTTTTTAAGAACAGTGCCTGCCAGGATTGGGAGGAGTTACTGAGTAATCCAGTGATTCATGGTTTCAAGTGTAAACTACCCTCCTGCTGAAGCTGTGGGTTAGCTTTCTTTCTCAAGGCCGAGGACAGTGGATTCTGTCAGCTGTGCTCTTGCAGCCATATTGATGATTCTAAGTGGGAGTCACACACTGGAAGGACATAGTGGGGCTCCGAACAGCCAGGTAGGACAGAAGTCGGAGTAAAGACAGTCTGGTTTATTTCTGTAGTTACTGTGCAGGGAAATAAAGACACATCTAAACTGATGATTTGTAAATAATTATATTGAAACTTTATTCAGGTTTTTTCAATTTTAGAGATGTAATCAAACCTTGATTCTAACAACAAGGTCCTACTATATGGTACAGGGAACTATATTCAGTATTCTGTGATAGACCATAATGGAAAAAAATTAATAAAAAAAAGAATGTATTATATATGTGTAACTGAATCATTTTGCTGTACAGCAGAAATTAACACAACATTGTAAATCAACTATTTTTTGATAAATAAATAATAATTTAGAAAACAACAACAAACCTTGATTCTAGTCCCAAAGCCATCTTTTGAGCAGTATGATCAATTTCTGTCCTTCCAGGGTAACAGTTAAACTTGATTTCCATGTCTACACTTCTTTAGACAACAAGAATGCATATAAGTTGATATTCAAGTAATAAGAAAGAACCTGAGAAAACTAGACCATGCATAAGCTTGTAGTCTTAGATCTAGAGACGTTTCATATATATATATATATATATATATATATATATTTATTTTTTTTTTTTTTTTTGCGGTATGTGGGCCTCTCACTGCTGTGGCCTCTCCCATTGCGGAACACAGGCTCTGGACGCGCAGGCTTAGCGGCCATGGCTCATGGGCCCAGCCGCTCCGTGTCATGTGGGATCTTCCCGGACCGCGGCACGAACCCGTGTCCCCTGCATCGGCAGGCGGACTCTCAACCACTGCGCCACCAGGGAAGCTCAGAGACGTTTCATATTGCTTTCCTTTTATACTGTGGTAGATTTTGAGCTATTAAGCATAAGTACACAATCAGGGTCACATTACATACTATAGTTATGGGATCTGAAATTCCATTCAGAAAGAAAATCACACAATGGGAACTCTGTACAGCTTAAGAGAGTGAACCGAAGGAACTGAAGAGAGTGGGTTTCCAGGAGCTTCTCTTGCAAGTCTTGGCGACTTGGTTTATCTGGAACTCTGGCTCATCCTCTCTTCTGCTGCCTTCCCTCTGGCCCTTTCACTGCTTATTAGCACGCACCTAAAGATGAACAGGACAGATGGAGAAGTGACACAAAACAGTTACTGTGCTAGTCCCTAACTATTCTGCATATTCTTTTTATTAGTGGAGCCAATGTCATTTTTGTTATTCATTTCAGTTTTAAATTATTCTTTTGCTTTTATTTAAATGTACAGTATTTCACATTTGTTCATCTAGAAGGAAAATAATATTGTTTCTGTTCACATTAGTAGTAATATATTGAATCCAGTAACGAACTAAATGTGTTTTAGAGATTGGCATAGTCCGTGCTCAGACAGTAAAACTGAGGAGATACAGCCAAGATGAAAAAAGGGAGAATGCATCTCTAGACTGACAAGTTAATTATCAGCATTTCATGAATATTTCAGATTTGTTTTATTATTGTCATTATAGAATTAATTCAACTTTTTAAAATATGAGAGTAACCTACATATAGTTCTTCCTAGCAGATTGTTTACTGGTGACAGATTAGAGATGGGAACCAAGGAAAAGAGTGTGTCCTTAGTCTCCGGGATGGTAAACTTGTACACTGTCACTCCTACTGGGAATTTTTGTTTCCCAGCAATTGTTATTTTATTATTTATTTCGGTTACTACTCAATAGAGAGTAAGTTTCTAAAGCCTCTTTCCATGGGCCCTTCCCTAATTCACCACCACAAGCCACACCCAGGGGCGCCTTCTTGAAGGACTTCTTTCTCCTGAGTTAGAGAAACATGACCTCCCCTTAGCTTTGGCTAATGGCTTTGAAGCATTATAGTGTAAGTTTTCAAATCTGAACAACTTGTCTTTTTCTTCAACTTCCTTGAATGATCACTCATGCATACCAGAGGATAGTCATTGTATGTGTTTTGGAGTCCCTTGCCTAATAAAAATCTTTCTAGATAGAACTCCCAAAATTTGAGCTTCAAAAGGTCTGAACTTAGTCATTGACTTGTTAATTACTAACCTCTTACTGTCTGTGTCCCTGAGTGTCTATGTTATCTTGCCTGAGTTTATCACATTTACTTGTGATTTGGGATTTTAACTCTCAAGAGCATACCACGTTCATCCTTGCCCTTTCAGCAGTACCCTCCCATTCCCTCCTTCACCTGTCTGCAGCTACCCATTAAGTGCCCCTAATAGAACAGAGAGAATGATTGCATCAACCTTGACATGATTTGATAAAAAGACACTGTGATAACAATTGGATTTTTATATCTAGCCACTTAAATTACCTTTTCTCGCCAACATTTTCAGATGACCGTAATCTGAAAGCATGAATTGGAATACAGTGATATCTGAATACTAAGATGATATATAATTAAATTGAAATACAGATGTACTTTGTTGTACATAGATATGCTTCTAAACAAAAATATGTGTGTTGAATGTTTGTGAATTAATTCATGCTTTAAACCCACTAGGAGAGGTTTATTATTTGAAGAAATACTGTAATAAATCCTCTAGCAAAGGAAGAATACCCCCAGTTTACATCTTGTGTAAGTCTTTTTGCTTAAAGCAAAAGACTTAAATAGAACTCATGCTTAAAGCAAAGGGTACTTGTATGAGGACAGTATCCAAGAGGGAGATGGGGCTTGTACAGGACAGGAGGAATTAGGTCAGCTATCGGTGCTGAGTAAGTAAAATTTCAATACATTTGGGCCCATTGATTCTGGAGAGCTACTCCTTTTGGGCTCCTTCTAACATCCTCCTCTTGCTTTTATGCTAGATCGAGCGGTTGGAACTAAGCAGCCTCCCCCAGACTTCCAGTGCGGTGGCCTCCAGCACTGATGGCAGCCTCCACACAGACGCTGTGGATGGAACACCAGACCCTCAGCGCACAAAGGCTGCTATTGCTCACTTGCAGCAGAAGATCCTGAAGCTCACAGAACAAATCAAGATTGCACAAACAGCCCGGGACGACAACGTTGCCGAGTACCTAAAGCTTGCCAACAGTGCGGACAAGCAGCAGGCCGCTCGTATCAAGCAGGTTTTTGAGAAGAAGAACCAGAAATCTGCCCAGACCATCCTCCAACTACAAAAGAAGCTTGAGCACTACCATAGGAAGCTCCGAGAGGTGGAGCAGAATGGGATCCCCCGGCAGCCAAAGGATGTCTTCAGGGACATGCACCAGGGTCTGAAGGATGTGGGAGCAAAGGTGACCGGCTTCAGTGAAGGTGTAGTGGACAGTGTTAAAGGTGGACTCTCCAGCTTCTCCCAGGCAACCCATTCAGCAGCAGGGGCCGTGGTCTCTAAGCCCAGAGAGATCGCTTCACTAATTCGGAATAAGTTTGGCAGTGCAGACAATATCCCTAACCTGAAGGACTCTTTAGAGGAAGGGCAAGTGGATGATGCGGGAAAGGCTTTGGGAGTAATTTCAAACTTTCAGTCCAGCCCCAAATATGGTAGTGAGGAAGATTGTTCTAGTGCCACGTCAGGCTCGGTGGGAGCCAACAGCACCGCTGGAGGCATTGCTGTAGGAGCATCCAGCTCCAAAACAAACACCCTGGACATGCAGAGCTCAGGATTTGATGCACTACTACATGAGATCCAGGAGATCCGGGAGACCCAGGCCAGACTAGAGGACTCCTTTGAGACCCTCAAGGAACATTATCAGAGGGACTACTCATTAATAATGCAGGCCTTACAGGAGGAGCGATATAGGTAAGTTACGTGGAATTAAAATCCTCAATTATTTATGTTTAGGTTCACCTCCCTTTGGATACTGGGGAGTAGCTTTAAAAGGTCTTGGTACAGTGTCTTTCTCTGGAGTATTCACAGCACTTTAGATACGTTACGTGATGTTTGCATGAGTTCTTATCATAGAGAGCAAAAGAGAGGCAAGCAGAGTTAAATGACTCCCAAGATCACACACGAGTGGAGTGTTTCAGTCAGGGGGTAATGATTACTGTAGCCCTCTAGTCTTCAAATTTCAAATGAAGCCCAAGCTTTCTAAGGCATTCCACCTACTTATTTATAATCACAGAACCACAAACAATTGCAGCCTATAGTTATAATACATTGAATTTAAAAGATCTATAGCCCTCTGAACTCTGTAGAAATCAGAGATATAGCCCAGCCAAAATGTAATGAACCTTGTAGATATTTGACTTTAAACACACTTATCTGGGCAATTGGTATAGAAAGATTAGACTGGAAATAAATCCAGATAAGCCTGTCTGTTACTTTTATGAATTGGCAAATGTTTGAACGAGAGTGGACTTAAACGTGAAATCGTTCTACAATAGTTAGAGAATTCGCAAAGGACTAAGTGCTTTGAGTCATAATCTGCTAAAGGTAGAAGCTGATCTCTTTTTTGTGTTTCACATTACAAACTGTATTCACATTAGACCACTCTAAGCTTTTCTCCAAATGTGTGTCCCTTCCCCTTGCTTCCATCACGTGCAGATAGAAATAATATCCACGTGGAGTACTCCTTCAGGTCCAAACTTTGTCAGCCAGAGCCAGGCCACCTCACTGGTACAGATTAAGGGCCAATATTACAGGAGCCACACAGCCTGTTAACAGCCACAGGTTAGGCCCTGAAAGGCCTGGATTGTGGTTTTGTCCCAGTTACGATCTACAGGGAATCCTCAGTACTTTTACTATAATGTCAAGGATTGAACAGACAGTCTCTTAAGGTCCCTTTACCTCCTGTAAAAAAATATATAATAAAAGTGATTTTTTTTTAAGTTTACTTTTATGAGATAATTTCAGGGCCTGAAATAAATTGTTCGTATGTATCAGTTAGCTCTGAAAGGAGCTACCTCAGCAAGCTGTTTTCAGATGGAGAAAACACTAATCAATCACTCAGTCCTACCTCTTATCTTCACTCTTCTGTCCTTCGGTTCTGACTTAAGACTTAAGGGAGAAGAACAGAGAAGTGTGGGAGAGAGAAATGAAGTTCTAAAAGCAAGTATATGACTATTCTTATTTCATTGTTTTGTATACTCTTTAATATACTCAGAAGACAGTTTCTAAAGCAGCGAGCAATCTAATACTCAGATGGACTCTAAAAATAAAACACCTGGTCCTTTGTACTACATTAAACCTAACTCCCGGGTTCAAATTCTAGTTCTGCCACTTACTAACCTTGAAAACGGGGCAAGATTCTTAACTTCTCTAAGTCTTGATTTTCTCATCTCTAACATAGAAATAATAATAGTCCTTCATAAGATTATTGTGCCCTTTCAATGAAATAATAAAGCACATAGCTCAGTGCCTGGCCCGGTAAGTGCTTGATTGATGTTAGGTAGCAGCTGCTACTGCTGCAATTAAAATACACCCCTCTGAACATGGAGACCTGGGCATTCCACGGTCAGTTGCTTTGACCCCTTTATTTTGAAAAGATAGCAAAACATTCCAGTTTTTAAATTCTTCCAGAGCTTAAAACTCATATAGAGTTTGTTACGTCTTCAAGTCAGGTGTAGGCCAGCGTGAGAAAATCAGGGAGGAAAAACGAGTCTCCCAAGGCCTCCTTTGTATCCATTTAAAATAATTCACAGGACAGAAGTTTAGGTCCTCATTATTACCTCATTGAAAGAATCATGTCCAAGCCACGTATGACGTTAAGGAGAAGTGCATTTCTTTCATTGCATTTTGGGTTCTTGGTAGTAAGTGAATGACTTGTTTTATGGAATGAAGAGAGAATAAAGGAAACTTGTGAATTTTCAAAAACAGAGGGGGCGAGAGGGATACATAATGTCATGTGTAATCTGACTGTCAAATCACTGCAGCTTGAAAATGGTCTTTCCTTAAAACAGAATCTTGAATCTTTTTTTTTTCCCAAGAAAAGCAGTGGAAAAGTCACAACTGTTTTACTCAACTATTTCGTCGCACCAGTATTTCCATGTATAGAGCAGTAAGGGATTTCTCCTCCGTTCCATATGTCTTTACACGGTAAATATATTTATCTAATTTTGTTGGTCTTTGAACTGTTCTACATAAGTGAGGTTTTCCCCACAGATTGTAGTTTATTCTTTTAAGCACCAAAACTTTTAACATTTTAAGTGTTTTTGCAGAATTTCTCTACCTTCTTTTAACAGAGTAGTTACATTGAGCCTAGCATGATTGGAAATAGCTTAAAACAGTAGTGTTAAAAAAAAAAAAAAAACAGTAGTGTTCTTAGAGCTATACTCTCAGCTCAGTGAGGGTGTCATCTTACATGCCTCTGCAATAAATGGTCCTAGGCAGCTTGCTTTTTAAACTTCTGTCGTCTGCCTTTTTTAGTTTGTTCTTTCTCCTTTCCACATATTCTCCGCACTCTTAGTGAGCTGCCTGCAGCAGCCTCTCTTTGCTAATTTCTATTTCTACTCTGTTACAGGCTTGGCTTTTTGTCTAGGAAGGAAGTAGGGAGGGATGGACTTAAGGGACTCTTCTGTGACCAAGAAACCAGTTAACGCGTACATGGCTGCTCTAGATGCATTTCTGCTTATTTTCTCTGCTGTAGTTTATTTTACTAACATCTGAGTTGACAGGAGGGAGGCCATGCACAGTATTAAATGAGGAGGAGGAGGACTCTACCTCTGGCAGCTTCTCTCACTAAACTTCTATGATGTGCATAGTGCTGGATGCTTCATGTATATTTGCTAATCCTCACAGTGTCCCTGCAGGTGCATTGTATTACCCCATTTTACAGATGAGGAAATTGAGGCCCAGTGAGGTTTTTAAGTTTTGCCAAAGATTACTCTGTTAGTGGTAAAGCCAGGAATCAAACCCAGTTTTATCTGACTCCAAAGCCTGTGTTCTTTTCATACCAGAACAAGTTTTTTTCCCAAACTCAAACCTGACATCTGTATGATTGAAAAACTAACCTGTAGGCTAGCTCTAAGAAGCATTGACTTTATTAGCAAGAGGTATTAGACCTTTTCCAGGTCACAGTCTATATTTTCCTAAAAGTTGTCCCTGTTTTAACATATTCTGTAAAATTCTGTGAATGCACAAGTTCTAGAAAGTTTTCTCAAGCTAGTATCTACACTAGTTTTCTCAGGTGTAGGTAAGTAATAGGGGACCCCCCTATTTAAGTAAACCTCCACCCCCGTCCTGATTTCCCCCTTTTCAGAGGCCCTTCTCAACACTGTCACTCAATTAATGTGCTTCCCATTGGTCTCTACCCCAGTGAGTAGCACCAGGGTAAAGAGTTTTGCCCAAGACCATCTACTTTGGAATAATCAGAAGCATTCAGAAACCTCTCAGCACCCACGTGATGGCGCCATGACGGAAGAGTGTTTCTTCAGCACCCACATGCACTTAGCCCAGGAAGTCATTGTAGCTGAGCTCGGATCTGAACTCCATCTCAACCTTGGGACAGTAACTAGGTACTTAGTCTTTGAGCTTTGTATTGGACTCTTAGATATAAGTGGGATCATGAATTTGGGAAGGTAGGAGACAAGAATTAGACATTTTTTTTTTAGTGATGGGATCTGTGCTGACTTCAGATTCTCCTTATCCAGCTAATCTCTTCATCCCATTAGAGCATTATTACAGATTTGTTAGTGGCAACAGGGTTCACTTTAGTACTTCAGAGGTAGAAGGGGCCCTTAGATATCTAGTCTAATCTCATTCTACAGATGAGTACACTGAGCCCCAGAGAGAGAAAGTGACTTCTGCCAGGTCACCCAGTAAAATGGTTTAACATATATTTAACTTGCTGCTAAAAGCTGGAGGATTAGTCTGTTCCCAAAGTGGGTATCCTGTATTGAGCTACAGTAGGAAAAAGTTCACCTGTGGCAAAATGCATTGAAAATAGGAGAGAACTAGGAAAACAATTCATCAACAGTTTTACAGGTTCCTTTTGTAGTTTTCCCCTTAGGGAATCTGGCCCGGAATTTTACTCAGCTACTGCCTGTATAGAGAGCAGTGCCATGCTAGGCAGGCTGAAAACACTCCTGGTGTTGATGAACAGTAATGCCATTTGAAAGCTTCTATTTTAAGGGGATTAGTGTTCTTTGGAAATCGGCTCCTGAGACTGTTTGTATTAAGCCCAGGGATATTTTAAATTGCACTGAGTCACAAGAGCAAAAATACAGAAGGAGGCAGTCACCATGAGCAGTCATCACATGCAGTAGAACAGTCAGTAACTAGGCTCACCCAGTTAGGCACAGGCCATTGGAGTTCTAACTAAAGAAATTGTTGTTTAAGTATGAACTTTTACTATCACTGGGCATAAGACAGAGACATGGTCAGATATAGCTATGTTAGCCCCGTATTCCGTGTGTTAGACCTGTTTGTCAACTGTAAGTTGATCTGAGACTCTCCAGAGGATATGTAGACTAAGTTTGGCCATACGTTTGAAATGGAAACTGAAAATATTGGATCAAATTAGTTCTTCATTTATAAGAGGAAAAAAAGCCCAGCTGAGAGGTGCTCATAATAGATGCTTCATAAGAAGGGTAAGACCTTCCATCGAAGAGATCTTTCATACAGATAGGCTCTTCCCAGTTTAGCCACTGAAGAGGTAATGGAGGGAGAATGGGAGGGAGGAAGGAGGAACAGGGGAAGAGAAGGAGAGCAAATAAATTAATTACTTCATTAATTAATTAAGGTTGGACAAGCCTGAATTTTCCTGCCGGTTCTGATACTAATTAGCAGTGTGACCTTATGTAACTCACCCGAGTCTCAGTTTCCGCTGTAAAAACAGGGTAATGGTATCTATTGTACAGGGT